GGGTGAAGATCCCACGCTGAGTCCAGCGATACCAGAAACCCAGCTGCACAGCAGACTAAGGTCAATGAAGATGAATTATCCCTTGGTGAGGGATCAGACATTACATTGCTTTATCCATAGATTACCGATGCGAAAACCATTTTAGCAGTTCATTTAAAAAGGACCCCGAAGCCTTGCTTCCACAAAGTTCCCGGCAAAACCTTGTCCTGATCTAGCTCAGTTATTCACTCCAGACAATAGGAGTGCATTTTATATATTTCTGTGTATTTCTATATACTTGGTTTCCCCACCTCGGACAGCGGTTGATAGAAGCACCTTAGTTTCAGTTCTGCAAGCCGAGCTCCACGCAGCTCCATACGGCGAACACCAGCAACTGGGTTTATTCTCGCATGTAATGTGTGTGGAAATCTCAGCTCTCTGGGGAGAGAACACTTGTGAGGTGCCGCACCGAGGGCATTTGCCCATTTATCTGGAGCCCTGTAGTCCTCTCTTTACCCGCAGAACAAATGCACATAACAGCATGGATGTTACCCCTGCTTCCCTGCCAACATGTCTCAGCAAAGACCTGGAGGGGAACATCAATGGGGAGATTTTTTTCCTAACCTTCAAAACACCTTTAATGTATTTCTCATGTGAGAAGAGCTGCATTTTGTCAGTGAATGAAAAAATGTCCACAGTTCTTTAAAGTACTCCGTTTTCAGGGCATTTTGTCTTTTTACATTAGAATTTTCTGCACCTGTTTCTTGGTAAGAAGATGGCATGAAAAAAATTCTCTCTTTGCAACTTGAAAAGACAAATGATTCTGGCTTTTAACCTACCAGGATACATCACTTTACAGCTCTGTTCTAACTCAACCAAGCATTTATAAGTTTGGACACTGACATTTTTGGACCCGTGTAATCCAGGAGGCCAGCTTGAATGAATGATTATTGTGATCCCTTTAGAGCTTAAAGTCTACGAATATATTAATTAGTTGTGGTGAAAAAAGGATCAAGTTGAAAGACACGTGAAGGTGCCTTTAGCTCAAGACCTGAATGGTGCTGCACACTTGTCAGTGTTACACACTCCTGTAGCTTCATTTGAAGACCAGACTGCTCCTGTCATGAGTGTAGACTAAAAGTCTTAACAGAATCCCATTTTGGGAAACTTCTGCCAGGAGGGGTAAGAGTTGTATTATTTGGGAGGGTCCTGTTGACCTGGAGAAGGGAAATGCCCTTCCCTGTGGATCAGACACTAGCCTACCTGCCACACAATAGGGTTGTATCTGCAAGGAACAGCCTAGCCCTCACTGTAAGGTTAACCTAGTCCCTAGGCAGCAGTTTGCAGCGGATTAGACCCATCAGGATCCATGTGTTGGGCCTTGGACAAGTAGCAGAGTCCTCCGTAGCACTGGCCAGGCCATTCCCAAGCAGGCTTGCCCTTCTGGATCTTGCAGCATGCTTGCACCCCCACGTGTCACTCTGAAAATTAGTTTGTTCGCGGAGCGTGAGTGATTCAATAGTTTGCAACCGGCAGCAGTTTGGCCTTTTGTGGGAAGGGAGGTGCACTAGAGGGCCAGAATAGGCTCAGTGCAGGAAGCCAACCCGGGGAGGCCTGTGATTATCTTGCACAGCCACGTGACAACACTTTGGTATGAGGGACTCTCCTCTATACCTGTTTTCTGAACTGTTTCCTGCCCCCCACACTTCCCGCTTTTAAAATCTCCAGTGAAGGTGAGCCATTGTCTCTGAACGCAGTGGAATTCCAGCAAGATATTTGCATGTTTTAACAGACAAGGAAATGTCTTCCTGCCAAGTCACAGGCTTCCAAAGCACTTTGGCATCTCCAGAGCACAAACAAACCTCAGCAACTGGCTCTCCGTGCACAGCCCAGCCTGCGGCGTGGCCCCGCAGCTGTTCAGCCATTGCGTGTGTCTGAGCTAGGTGGTTTGAAATCCCTCCATGAAACTTGGGGGAACTGAGCAAGGGAGATGAATTAAAACCAAGGTCTCTTATTTAGGTCTCCATAAACTCGAGTGCCTTTGAGATGCCGGATCTCTGATCTGGTTTCAGTGTTGCCCAAAAAACAAGGTAGATGAGGATTTCGAAATACCAAACCCACCCCTTAGGTTCTGCCTAATGCTAAGGCAAATAAACAGCGTTTCACCTGTTGGTGTACTCAAGTTTGCCACCTACACACAATATGTATAGGTAATGTGCCCCATGGATACATCCGTGTTCTCCATGCAGTCCCCTAGCCATAGCCTTCAACTGCAAATGTTCTGCCTTCCTTTGAAGATAAACGTGCCACACAATAAAAGTTACCTGTAGAAATATTTGGCTATAGAACTTTGCTTTATTCTTTTTTTTAACAAACGCTTCTCCCATAAATGACATTTGTCAGCCTAAGATTCATCTATTACACAAAAGCACAGTTATAATGTATTAAATGAAATGCAGTCTTTTGAGATGGAAATAAGCTTAAAAAGTCTGCTGTGCAGCCTGCAATGTGATATGTATATATATATATTTTAAGTTGGCCACTTGGCTTATGTCCGCTAGCCTCGGAAAGGAAGGGAGCCCTGATTGCTCTCCCTTGAGTCTTGATAGACGCAGTTGAGAAAACATTTCTTTTTTCATAGGACACCTGAAACAAAAGAGAAACAGAGCAAAATGTCACTATTCCCTGGCATTGTTTCTGGCTAACATATTTTTCAGTGTTGCATTTCCAGGCGCCTAACTTAAGCCACTTTCAAGGGTGCCTGTTTTCAGAAAGTACTGAGCAGTTGTCCTCAGGCCTTGTCAAGGTGTCTTACTATGCCCCCCCCCAAATCAGTGGGTACCCCTAAAAAGAAACAAAAAACCCCTCTTTTCACTTTCTAGATTCCTGAAAAGCTGTGAAACACTGTTACTTTTGTGATCATGTTTTCTTTCCCCAGAGTCATAGTTATAAAGAGAAACTTTTTTGAAGACCTAAATGTTAGATAAAATAGACACTCCTTTTTTAAGACGTACTATTTTATTCTAAACAAATGTCCTGAACCTGTAAGGTTTTATTCAAGGTTATTTTACTCTGTGCAGGATATTCCAGATCTCAGACATGACCAAAATTAAGTGTAGCTTTCTTCTCTGGGAGCCTACACTAAATTTTCAAATCTTTTGTTTCATTGCCTAATTGTCATTACATGTTATAGCACCTATTTATCCAGATTCCTTGGCAGCTTTGAAGACCCTCTACCTATGACAGTTGAAGACGAGTGATTTGTGCCTGAAGTCACTGGAAGTTTTGGCATTGCCTTTCCTAGGAGCAGACACGCGAACAAGCTCCTGGCTTGCCTCAAGACAGTAGTTGGTTCAGTTTGACAAAATGTTGCCCTTGGGACAAATCCCTCGTCGGGTACAAATGGACTTGCAGGACTCAGATGGAGTTCTGCCTGTCTCTTTACACCAGTGGTTTTCAACCTTTTTTCATTTGCGGACTCTTAAACTATTTGGAATGGAGGTATGGACCCCCTTAAATTGTAAGTTTGGGTATTCACATACTTTTGATTGATAATAGTCATCTTTCATGGACCCCTTAGACATAGTCCCAGGGGTCCAGAGACCACACATTGAAAACCACTGGTTTACACCATTGGAGAGAATTAGTTTGTAACATTCTGCGTACGGGACACTGAATGCCATCACATTTTTCAAATGCACTGTAAGTTTTCATATGTTTTGGTTGTATCTCAAAGTTGAGGCATAAACTTCACTGAGATCATCAAATGCCTCAAACCAACAGTTCTTTAAAATATTTCAGTTTGCTCAGCTGTTTCCTTGGCAAGCCTACACCCAAGGCTAGGAATATTCCAAGAAAACCCCGTGGCTTTTTTACGTTGCTGGAACAACAGGGAGTTGCACATGGCCTATTCTCTCTGGATCCTCCAGTAGTTGTGCAGAATATTCTGCACGCAGAACGAGAGTAAAAGGAATGATTGCAATGCAATAAAAAAGAATTGCTTATTTGTCATATCGGAATAGGTCACAAGCAATTAAATATTATTAAAATGCCTGGAGCAGGAAGTGAGATAAATCGGAAGCTTTGAAAGAGCACAATATAATCAATGCAACAATAAACATGTAAACTGAACAAGGGGCCTCCAAGTCTGTTGAAATCCATGAGCCAAAGTCACGTCACGCGGCCAGGAAAGGAGAGAGCAGATTTTCCATTCCGGTCCCGAAACTACAATCTTGGATGAGCACTGCAAAACTGATATCTGCTCTGTGGGGCTATTGATTATGTATTATACATGAGCAAACCAATATCAGATATTCCATTAAGATTTAAAACATAATCCTGCACACGCATGGTGTGCAACTCCATTCCTCCAGTTCTCTGCAGGGAATTTGCTGTCCAATACATTTCATATATATAATATATAGATGAAGGGGGAAAGCCACATATTAGTATGAGAGATCCTCTGCTACCTACACTGATAGGGAAATCCTAAAATATCCAGCTAGATACTAAAGTTGGGACTTTCACAAAAGTCAAAGGACATTCATTCAGCCCTGGCTGAATTAATGGGATTTGAGTTCTTTATGGTCCTTCTTAAAAAACAAAACAAAAAGCAAAACCCTAAAACCTCAGGTGATGGGTAGATTCTGGGGAGATAATTTTAAAAATATATCCATACCAGAATGAGGAGGTGGGAAAATGCAACATTTGCACAGCTCCCAGTCAGTAGAGCTGGTTTAAAAAAAAAAAGCGGGGGGGGAAAGAGAGAGAAATTCAAATGCTTGCACTTTTCAATGACAGTTTTCAACAGAACAGCTTGCTGGGTTTTGTTCAATGTACTTGCAGGGTGTTTGGAAATGCTTGAAATGTGGATGTTTGCCCAGAAACTTCATTGAATTATTTTGCGTATGAAAAATGCCTCTATTTTTTATTGGCGCACTTGACACTCAGTGACTGAGCCTTTATTTATTATTCATACAAATTCTTCTAACTTGGGGGTTGAACACAGGGTATAAGCCTACTTTTTTGAAGGCTCAGCTTCCACCTGGTTGTTCTCACGTCATCTTCTGTCGTATTCTTTTTAAGTTCCTTTAAGTCAATTAAGATGGGGGCAGTTTCAAGGTTGCTCCCAGCCTGTCTGGCGTTTCCTAAAAGAAAGATACAATTTAGGGCCTGTTCCAAAATCTGTTGAAGTTAATATAGAGACGCCGACTGATTTCAGCAGCTATGGGTTTAGGCCTAGAGCTTCTGCTGGTATATAAAGATAGGATCTCTCTTCCAGACATCGTATTAATTAACATTCTCTCCCTCTCTCTGTCTCTAAATTCCCAATAAATATTATTGTTCTACAATAAGAGCTAGCCACATGTTCAGGGCATAGAGTTGCCCACACCCCCAGTAAAGAAAATCAGCACTTAACAGTGATTATTCTGGTTAATCTTTGTATCATCAGGGATGAAGCTGCTATGGCATAGATCTGGAACAGAGAGCAATGGTTTGGTCCCGATTGGGCACTACTGTTCAATGGGAGGATATTCAGCCTTTCTGGAGTGCAGCATCAAACGTTTATGCTCCTAGCTTTCCAAGCAAAATGGAACCATAAAACTGTTATGATTTTTCAACATGCAAAGAGTAAATTTTCTTTAAGCGTCGAGAACTCAAGGTGGAGGTTTCTTCTCTGACGGCCTACACTAAACTCACTACAAAGTGCTTGCTCATCTCTGCAAACATGGTGGCTCTTCAGAGTTTTAAAAGTATAGTATGTGGAAAACACCCCAAATCACTCCCAGGGTGTTGCCCATTAGACTTACTCTTCTTTAGCAGCTTTACTTTAATCAGGACAACAACACCAGCAAGAAGCAGCAGCACAAGGAGAGCTGGTAACACAGCTGAAAGGAACAGTGAACCACTTGATGAACTGCAAAGATAAGTCATGAGAGTTACGTGGGACTTTGTGCCATGTATGAGGCACATAAAGCACTTGAACGAAGGCTTGGTTTTTACATGGAAGCGTGTTTAAAAAAAAAAAAAAAGGGTCATAAATTTTCTCTCGCAATCCAAGAACAGTTAACCAAGTCAAGCAGAGAGTAAATCATTCGATCTAGGTTTTGATCATGAGGAAGTAATTTCTGTAGCTACTTAGAACTGTGCCCTACTCCATGGGTTTTATAGTGCTTGGTTGAATTGCCCCCTTAAAAACTGAAATGGATTCCTCCCAGTTTCCAGGCTGGGTTACTGCCCTGCCTATCTAGGTTTGTATACCATTCCCATCACTGTGGTGGTGGAGTGTCTTCTTGCAAAACGCCATAGGTGCCATCAAGTTGCAAATCCCCAGGGCATACACTGAGCTTGCTACTGTCTAGAAAGCTGGCTCTTCATTAGATAACAACTTAATGCTTATTTTATAATGGGTAACGACTGTCTCTGCTGCCTGGGGTTCAAGGAGGGAACAGGTCTGAGGGAGGCAGTCACAGTGATGTGTTGTGGGATATGGCTGTGCTAGTTCCTAGTATTTGTAGGCAGTGTGGTCTCCCTTCATTCCTTGCATATGCCGGCGTCCCTGAGCATGTAAAGCACAGGAAGGATCATTTCCCTTGCTGCGGCGCTGCAGCCACATCTGGTGTGGTGTGATGCAACAGCAGCTCATGGCAATGCTACATAACCATTTAGGAGAGGAAGCGAAGAAGAATACCGCACTCGGTTTAAAGCATACAGGAAGGCAGGGAGGCAGGATCTCAGCCTGGTCCTTGGAGTTAGCAATTCTGCTTCTGTAGTAAAGTGACATAAAGTCATTGCTGACAAAAATGACTTAAATCTTCCAAAGGCCTGGCCTATTCAGGCTCACCTCTCAGCCTTGGGGTTAAGGATTACGGACTCGCGGCGGAGAAGACAGTATGGTGGCTATGGAATCGCCAACATCACATCCTGCAGCGCTAATGTGTCCTGAGAGATTTTCTTTCCCAGTCTCGAGCACAAGGACACAAGGCTTGCTATACGAGATCAGAGAGCAGCACTACATCTCCCCCTGAATCTGACCTGCCACAACAGCCAGCACCAGCTAGCTGAGAAGAAAGCATGAGAATGGCTCCAAAGGCAAATATGGATCATTTGACCTGTTATTTCTTCTCTTACTTATCTATAAATTGGATTCAGCCCTGTAGCAATAGACCTGGTATCCCTTACAAATATTGTGAGCATCAGCTATTGCTACTCCAGGTGTTCCTTTATCCCATAAAAATGTCCCCTCCCTTTGGCCTCAGCTTCTGCTCCCGGCAGTGAGTTCCACAGTGTGATTTATACCTGGGGCGAGAGAGTATTTCCTGCTCCCGATTCTGAACTTGCCACCTTTTTAATCGCTGCCCATGTCCCCTTGTTCTCAGCCTCTGAGACCGGACAAGTGAAGTCCCTGATCTATCTATTCGTCATTGTACAGATGATATATGCCTGCCTCTGACTTGTCTCTTTTCTAGTCCTGCATATTTTATGAAAGGGGAGTACAGTGATTGCAGAATTAGATGGGAATTAGTCTTTCTTCCCTGGGTACCAGAAGATTTCAAACAAATCCAAAGGAACTCATCATCTATCCTGCGGGCAGCGCTTGTTCAGGATCTTACCTTTCGCTGTAGGCTTCCTGACTGGAAGTTACAAGTCTGTCAGAAGTGGTTGCTGTTCCCAAAGGCCTCTCGGTAACTGTGCTTGCCGGGTATGTGTGGTCTGGGATGCTTGTGTGGCTGGGGATGCTGTGGAGGACAGGAGTTGCTGCTCCGTGTGCTCTTGTTGCTGCTGCTATAGTTGCTGCTGACCCTGTTGCTGCTCCTTTGGCTCCTGCAGATGCTGCTACTGGCCTTGTTGCTGCTCCTTTAGCACTTGTAGTTGCTGCTACTGACGCTGTTGCTGCTCCTTTGGCTCTTGTTGCTGTTTTGGGGCTTGCAGGTGCAGGGGTCTGTGACTCTAGTGAAGAGTAGGATTGGAACAAAGAGCACACGTTTAGTGCAGGGACAGAAGATTGGCCCTGTGCCGGTCTGATGCCTGGTCTCTGTCTCGGTGAAATGCACAGTGCATGCTTTCCAGTAACGTTCTCCCAAAGCTGGAAGATGCAGCTTTCACATTTAGCTTCAGGACTGCATCGGTGTGGGTACAGGACCTGGCACAACGAACCCTGACTGGGGCTCTGGGCACCACTGTATTAGAAGCAGTAAAAAATGAATGCTATTATCTCTCCTTAGGGAGAGACTGCCACTCAGACCCTTCCATTGACACTCCTGATTCTCATTAGTATCTTCAAAAATCTCCCCCTTAAGCTCTAGAAAACCTCTCGCCATTGCTGAGCTAGACTAGTATGCCTGATGGGCCAAGGCAGAGTACAAAGCAGAGGTTTTTGGACAGCAGGTCTTTTTTAGTGCCTGCAGAGGTGATGGACCAAAGGCTATGAGAATGCAGAATGAGACTGAGAGAAGAGGCTCTTAGCCACTGTGGCCAGCACCCCTTCAACACGTACCATTTTCGATGTATAACATGACAGAAAATGTCTGCTCCGTGTTTCCATCTTTAGCCCCACACCAATACCATCCTTCATCCTTTTCTCTCAGGCGGTTCATCACTATTGTGTAAGTTCCATTTTTCTGGTTATCGCTGACTATCCTTGTTCTTCCTTTAAATGCATCATCTACAAATCCATGGGTATCCACCACGAGGCGGCATTCTGCCTTCTCCCACTTGCACCAGTATTTCATCTCATAATTCTTTTGGGGATCATAGCGGCACGTAGCAGACACCGAGCCACCTACAACTCCACTCAAGTGTTTCAATTGCTTGGGGATGGTTGAATCTGGAGGTTGAGAAGAAACTGGGTAAGCGGCTTAGCCCAAACTACTCTGAATCCTGCCCCCCTGAAAAAACAATATATGTGGGATTTTGGAACATGGCTGCAAATGCAGATGCTGTTCAGCAAATAAGGACCTAGAGCAGCTCCTAATCATTAACTGCTCTTTCTTCCCAGCCTTACCTTCAGTGAGCTGGAGGTCGATGGTTTCTGTGTCTCTGGAATCACTTGGCGTTCCTGTCCCACACTTATACAGCCCCGAATCCTCTGGTTTTAGTCCATTTATCAAGATGTGAAAAGTCCCAGAGCTCTCCTGTTGGGTGATGACGATTCTCCCGTTGTAATTCTCGCTCACGTAACCGTCCGTGTCTGCTATGAGAGAACAGCCATTTTTTCCCAGTCTACACCAAAAGCTCCTTCCGCTGCCTTTGACGTTTTCCGTGGGACATTGGATTGTCACGGATCCTCTGGGCTCCCCAAGCACCAGTTCTGGTGATTTTGGCACGGTGGGATCTGTTGGGAGACAACAGAACAGAACACAGTAAGGAGCCGCTTGGAGCAGCGTCCCTTCTTAGCCCTTTCACATTTCCTAAGAGTGAGTTTTGGTCAATCTCTGGGCACTTTTATTAAAGAAAAGAAAAGAAATTCTCTTCTAATCTCACAAGTAAATGACTGTTCTCAGCCAAGGGGAGGACGAGCGTGACCAAGCAAAGTTGATGCAACAACCGTTGCCTTAGACTGAGGTCATCATAAGCCACCACTAGAACGCGTGGCTCCAAACACCATAAATTGGGCATGGGGCTTTTCCAAGTCTGGGTTTGTAGGCTCAGAGGAGAGATCTGAATCTACACATTTTGCAATCGGTTGGCTCTGAAGGCAGCCAGCTACTGTACCGTCCAGCACCGTGAGGTTTACGCTGATAAATAAGCCTCTGTTGGTAATGCCGATGCCACATCTGTAGATCCCGCTGTCGTTCTTCCTCAGGTTGGTCATTCGCAGGATGGCTGTGCTGTTATGAGGGAAGTCGGTGATTTCTGCTCGGTTTTTGTACTCTTCGGAGGTGTAACTGTTGGTAGAAACGATGGTGTTGCACACTTTGGTGGCTGACACTTTACACCAAAACTTCCGGTCGTGTCTGTTGGCTGGAGTCTTTGGATACAAACACGGGACAGTGACTGATCCTCCAACCCCCGCTGTCAACAGCCTGGGCCCGTTCATGGCACCTGAAACTGTTTATTCAAAGAAATGTAGACAGTGCATTAGCCAAATAGCTAGCCAGATGGTATAAACCAGCACAGCGCCACGGATGTGAGACTGATGACCTGGCCCAGACAGCTTAATACTAATTTTGGAAGATGCAAAAGTTCCTGTAAAGCAGATCCACATCTCTTGGCGCTCCCAGGCTTTATTACTCTATACCTGGGCAGGTAAGGGATTTGGATACAATCCTTTATCCACGTTGTGTGGCAGCATCTAGGAAGAAACCCTGAGCTACCGCTCAAGTATTATGCAGCCCTTTCACAGGCAGGACTCCTATCAATCCCAGCAGGTGTTTTACCTGCCAAAAGCTGAATGATGAACTTAGTTCTCTGGATCAGAGCAGCTGGGCAGTGTTTAGTGACAAGGAGATCTCAGAGGAAGAAGTAATCCTGTGTTGTCCTTTACATCTCTGTAAAACGTTTCCACCCTTGAAGTCTCCACTCCTGCAAGCAGAAGCACTCTACAACCTGTTGCATCTGTCTCCTTTCTATTGGTTTCAGTAAGGTTTTGGTCAGGTCTTAATGAGAGATGCAGGGTTTGATTCTCTGTTCCCCATACCTCGTGTGATCATTTACACCAAAACCAAGTAGGTATAAATACCGTCCTGATCTGGAAGGTTTTATTTGCCCTCTGCAATCACACTGCACAGCTATGAATGGCTGCAGGATAGGCAGGACCACGGACACGTGGGCCTTGAGCCTTCAAGGTATTGCAGAATCATTAACTGTGTCTTGTGACAGGGAAGTTTCCCTTGTCTCCACTGTGAAGAGAGGGAGTTGCCCTCCTCCGGCCCTGCATTGGAAGGGATTGTCTTTTATTTAACCCCAAATTTCCTTTCATTCCCTGCAAGCCTGGAGTTCTCTCACTCTGTATCATTGCAAGAGCTTTGCATCACAGAGATGGTTCCTAAAGTTACTCACCTTGTAACAAGAGCGGTAACAGGAGGAGACCATCCATGCTTGCCCTTTACTCTTCACCGGGTAGACATCTGAGTTACACTTTGGTATGGAGGCCGGGGTCCCCTTTCAACTCCCAGCTGGAAATCCAAAGTGCTTAACTTTACACGTAGCTGTCATCAAATATGAGAAAAAGATAAAGATAAAGGCCAGGATTTCCCAAGAGCTTTATACCCAGAGGGACAGATTTCCAGCATCAGCTTCCTTTGTGCAAAAATGAAGTTTATTTCCTACACATGGGGACTTTTTACCATCTTTTCCTGAGCCTGAGGAAGGGCGTGTAAGCCCAAAAACTTGCAGGAAAAAAAAATATTTGCAATTTCTCAGTTGGTTTAATAAAAGGTATCATCTCTGAACCAAGAGTTCTGGAAGTTTGCATTTCTTTTATGGAAGTTAGGCACCCAACTGCTAATGCAACTGAATGGGAACCGGGCACCTAAATCCCACTGGTGCCTGTAACCATTCCAGCCACTGGGAACTTTTCCTGC